CTCTCTCTCTCTCTCTCTCTCTCTCTCTCTCTCTCTCTCTCTCTCTCTCTCTCTCTCTCTCTCTCTTGCGGTGGATGGGTGAATACCGCAAACAGATGTGTGCCCTATGCGACATCCATTTCCCGCAGACCAGAACCACGACGGTGCACCGAATCGATCCAGATGCTTGTTACCTCGGGAAACGCTACTCAGGACCGTGGGGTAGAGCAAGTGCTGTGTGAATGCAGCGGAGTAGCGCTCACCCGTTTGGCGTGACGAAAGTCGGGTTGTCGTCAGAAACCTCGGCATTCGTAGCCCCCCACCAGCCAAAGTTGCTCCCACCAACGACCACAGCGTTGATGAGGTAGGCCAACACGTTGACAAGCCACAACATCCTTGAACCTGAACCTGTGAAGAAAAACATGTGCAATGTGACCCGAAAATTATAACCATGGGCTACTCTCGGAGATCGTTCGTTGGCTATTTTCGTTCCAAGGATTTGTACGGTGAAGGGTGTTCGTGCACAGGGTGGCGGTGTCGTGCGCTAAGCGCCTTGAGGTGGCCCCCCCTCCGCCACGAGAGCAAGGATAAGTATACCCGACAGATAGCAGAACTGCAGCAACCAGACGCGGAGTTCTCAAGAGGCGTATCTTGCAGTCGTTCCATCAACCCCCCAAAACCGAAGTACGATAAAACTGCAAGAATTTTGAGGCCGCACACCTCTCGCTCCCGCTTCAGACTAAAAGTGCACGCAGGGCCTGACCCCGACAAGCATCATTGAAACACTCCAGCCGGAGAAGGCAAAAAAATCAACACGATTTCAAACTCTATGTACATACTCTGTACCCCACGAAAATATCTTGCTGCAAGAATGCAACGATGGTTGAACTTGGTGTCGCAAGCGCCCGCGAAGAGTTGTATGCATAGCCATGTCTACAGCAGTACGTTTGTACCGATCATGCTGGTAGTCCCGCATAGCTCCTGCAGCGGACACGAGAAACCCCTGATCCTAGGGTTTCGACCAGCCTCGTTCTTGGTACGAAGCTTTAAGATATATCATCTTTTAGCAGTGGTGTACCAAGCGCAGCAGATAGCGTCTTCCGATGCGTCGAATCGTGTCTAATGCAAGTACTGCAAGTTCCAAGTCTTCGTGCCACACCACCACAGCTTCGCCGTCGGCAGCAGCGTTGGTGACGAACGAGGCCTACAACTATTTTTCGCGACAAAAGCGTGGGCTTCTCGAAATCTCGGCGAGAGACAAGCAGAGGGAAGACCGCGAACAGCTGTTTGTGCTCGCGGGGAAATTTCCTCGGGCAACGTTGGCAGGCGTGCTTCTGCAGACCAATCAATGAACGGCTGCATTTCTTGAGTGCGCTATACATACAGCAGCAGTGTTTTTATTCCCTTGCAACGCTGGAATCTCAGCTGCACTGACATTCAAGCGATATCTACCGCCTGAAACAGGTTTCGCAGGATGGGACGAGTCGCGACCCTCGCCCGACGCCCAGCACAAAACAACGGGGGCCATCACTACAAGGTTTCGGGTAATGAGCCAGTAACAACCAACGTTCGACCCTAGCATCATTTTCATATCTTGTAGGTTATACTTCGGTCAACACCACGTCAGGATGGGCGCTGCTGCACACCTTGCCTTACCAACGTACGCGCGCGGTCGGTGATAGAGCTTTCTGCCAGCAGTTGAAGGACTCCTCCTTCGGTGCTGACAGAGGTTCAGACGTGTCGAAGTGGTGAAAGGGCAAGCTCTTTTTTTTTCTTTCTTTTTTTTCCTAACAAGACCCAACGAATCCGTTCTACTTTTGTTTCACGCGCACACACACCAACGCACAGCAGCAGCAGTGCAACTCTACATTCTGCACCGGTCAGCCAACACCCAACACGATGTATGTATTTATTTGAGGAGTGGCCAAAATCGGGTACACCCGGTCCGTATCCGGCCATAATCGGGTACACTGGTTATACACAGCCGACAGCGCCCTCCTGGCGCTAT